TCGATCACCTCTTACAGAGGGAGAAACTAAGGGAGCAGGAAGACAGGTGGCTTGGCTGAGGTTCCGCGGGTGGGAAGAGGCAGAACTGGGATTCTAACCCAGGAGGTCTGGCTCCAGGATCACCGCTGTTCAGGGGTGCTAACCACGTGCGTTCCAGCCGCCTTAAGGGGTTTCGAAAGATAAAAAAGTCGATACGTGAAAAGAAAGTACAGTATGATTTTGTTTTACTTTAAAGATGTATACGTGCCTCGAAAATATATCGCTGAAGATACCGAAGTGTTGATAGTGAAGACTTCTGAGCTGTGGGACTATGGATGCTACCCTTCCTTCCTTCCTCCCTTTTAAAGATTTTATTTATTTATTTGAGCGAAAGGGAGAGTGAGAGAGAGAGTGAGAGCACACACTCACGAGCAGGGGTAGAGGGAGAGGGAGAAGCAGGCTCCCCGCTGAGCAAGGATCCCGATGCGGGGCTCGATCTCAGGACCCCAGGACCAAGACCTGAGCCGAAGGCAGACACTTAACCGACTGAGCCACCTGGCGCCCCAGATGCAGCTCTTTTCTCTGTGTCTTTCTACATTGTCAAATTGTATAGAGTGCAAAAGGGATCGTTTTTATCACCGGATAACTTTATGAGAAGTCTCTGCTCGCAGGGATGACATGGCTAATACCGCGTTCGGGGGCGAGCACACGGCTGCAGGTATTAGTTTTTTTTCCCTGGCTGGCCGGTGTGGCTGGGCATCTGGGGAGGGAGAAGCGGCCAGTCTGATGCAGCGGTTGTAATTCAGACAAGACGTGGGCCTCTAGAGCCAGGAAGGACTTGGGAAGTCACCCCCATTTGACAGAGGGCCCCCCACCCCCCTTGTCTCTGTATAGACCCCAGGCCAGGGCTCTTTCCTCTGGCTTGGGGGTTTCAGGTGACAGTGGGCATGTGGGAGAAATGGCCAGGTGGCAGCTGGGGGTTCAAGGGCACGGGACAGACGTGGAGGTGTGTGAGTTGGCAGCCTTGGGGGATTGGAGGGGGTGATGGGGGACGTTTCCAAGGATCCCAGCCCCAAGGCCACCTCCTCCTGCTCTCAGCTGTATGGAGAAGGGTCCCAGTAAAGAGAAACCGTGTAGTCACAGGGTGGGGGGGCGGTGATGTGGGGGCCGAAAGCCATCTCCTGCTTCCCGGGGGTTGGGCATGAAGGTGGCCGGCCAGGTCTCTACGTTTCCCGGTTCTGTGCTATGAGCATCTCCAAGTGATTGTGTTTCTTTCTTTGACCAGAGACCACCTGGGAACGTCCGGGCAGTTCTCCTGGGATTCCAGCCAGCCCTGGCCCTCACAGGAGCTCTCTTCCTCCAACAGGTACTGTCTACTCTCTACGTCAGGGCGACCGGGAGGGACCACACACCCACCTTCCCTGGAAAGGCCAAGACTCTGGGTTCTGGGGTCTGGAACGTGGCTGGGGATCTGGCCAAACCCAGGCAGGGAGCAGTTTAAAGGACCAGGAAGGTGGGCTCTCCCTGGCAGTGTGGGCAGCAACCTGATGGCTCACCCTCACTCCCTTCAGGTGCTTACGGAGGGAAGACGGCCGGGTGAGGTGAGGCCTCAGGGCCGTAACCTGTCTGCTGGTGTGGGTACCCAAAGTGGGGGCAGAACTGCTCTGCACAGTTCCGGAATGCATCAGAGAGTAGAGTCAAAGGAGGCAGATTTTTATGGGGCAGCTTTCGAGTAGAATGTTCTAGAAGGCACTTGGGATTTGTTGTCAGGGCGTGAGTTCTCCGTCTGCAAAGGCAATCAAGTGGAGGTGGTTGAGGTCGACATTCCTATCCTAGGTGGGGGTTTTATTCTGAGACCCCAGGAGGCAAGTTGATGTAGAGCCCTCACCCATTGGTCCAGATCCCAGCCCTCAGAGTGCACCCCCCGTTGGTTATGGCTCTCCCACACTAGACTGCACGCTCCCTGAGGGTGGACACTTCCTCTCCCCCTGACTTCTGTGGAATCCTCAGTCCCCAGACATGGGCTGGCTTCAGTGTGGAGGGAACTCACGAATGTCTCCACAATCGCAGGGGGCGTGAACTCGATTTGTTGGTTTTCGGACTTTCCGCATCAGCCGGGCAGCAAAGCCCGGAAGTCGTAGTTCTGGTGGTGGCCTGGAATTTGCATGTTGGCGGCCTGGTGTAGCTGGACTGAGGCGGGGAGGCACACGGGAGGGGAGGGGTGGGGAGGGGAGGGGAGAAGCAGCAGCTTACGTGGAGGGCGGTGAGGGCCTGCACAACCTTCACGCGGCCCCAAATCATCGGAGGTCTACGGAGCTTACCTAACCCATCCCAGGTGACCAAGGGAAGAGCTAAAATGATGACCGAGTGAGGGGCAGGGTGAATGCATGAGCACATGTGTGCAGACAGGCGTAGGAAGGACAAGCAGCTTTTAACCCTTGGATTAGAGGAAGGGTCTCGGGTGCAGAGAGTGGGCTGCCTTTCATCGAGAAGAGTCTTTAGACATTCTCTACCACTGATACATTGAGAACCCAACGTGTATTATGTGGTCCATATAATATAAAGCTATATGATCCAAGTATATGATTTTGGGAAATGAGAATTGCCAGAGCAGAAGAATTCAAAAAGCAACATAGTAGGAAAATAGAGAAACAGAGCTCTGGAGAATCAATCAGCTGAGGCACGGGAGAGGGGGCGAGCAGGTGTTCTAGGCTTTTTAAGTGTTTTTATTTACATCTTACGTGTGTGTGTGTGTATTTTTTTTACTTAAATTTAAAAAAAAAGAATTCAAACAGAGAGGAACCCTCTTGGGAGGGAGGGAAACGGGGCATTTGCTCGTGATGCCCTAGGGACGGGGTGAGCCCTGCATCGCGAGAACCGAGCCCATTCAGCCTTCCTACCTGTTGTACGGACGACAGGCCGTTCCCCCAGAATGGGGGCTGGCAGGAGCTGGTTCTGGGCTAGTGGGACAGGTTCCCGCCTTCACCTGAGCAGCACAACTGGATGCCTGTCCACGGAGCACTGAGCTGGGTGCTGGGGCTCTGAGGGGAGCTGAGAAGGGCGGGGAGATGGGCGGAGAGGGTCAGACCCACTGACGAGGATTGTCAAGCGGGCCAAGGCGTTGGGCCAAGGCGTTGGACCGAGCATGTGGCCACCGACCTGCCCTCCTCTGCCCCCAGCCATGGGGGGGCTGGGACACCTGTTCCCAAGTCCGCGGGTACCTAGGTCTGTCAAGTTCTCTGCCCAAAAGGGCCTTGCAGCCTCGTGCAGTTGGAAGTTCTGCCTACCCTTCGGCCCTTGGGAGATGCAGCAGACACATCAGCATTCTGATGAAGACCCCGTTTGATTCCGTGCTTCCTTCCCTTCCTTTTGTTGGTCGGCAACATCCGTACGTACTAGTTAGGTTTTCTGCCCCGGTGCAGTGGTTCTCACTCCTGGGGGTGATTTTGCCAGGGATGCATTGCCCCGGACAGCTTACCCCCCCCCCCCACAAAGGGTTATCCAGCCCCATGTGGGGGTGGTGCCAGAGTTGAGGAGCTCCGTCCCAGGGTGACTCAGTACGTCCGTTCAGCACCGTTCAGGGGACGGGTGACAGACCGCGTGGCCCATCGAAACGAGAAGCAGCAACATAATCCACAGAAGCCTCGTTCCCTGGCTCAGACACCCACCTTTCGTGGGTTCCGTGGAAGTCAGATGCATCCCACAGTCAGCATGTACCCCTCATTCAAGGAGAGGCCTCTTTGTTTTCTTCCCCCATGACACTGAACATCAGGGTGCCTCTCCCGGTCGTGGCTTCTTAGATTGAGATTTAGAAATGACGGCTGGTCAGACTCGGGCGTCGGGCACCCCGCACCTTCTCGCCAGGCCTCGATTGGCCCATTTACACAGCGCGAGGGCCTGGAGAAAGGCCGTGGCTCAGGTCCTGTCCAGCCGTCTGCGGATCACGGTTCTGGATTCTCTCCACCCCGGGCCACGGACACGCTTTGTGTCCACGCTCGGGGATGGGAGGGAAGAAACCTTATCCATGAGGCTGTAGGAGCCTCCGTGATGTTTTGACGTCTTCTTTTCTAGCTTTTGAACAAAACTTCTCTGGAGAATGAAATAGGAGGCACAGGGGCAGTTCCCTCTACGGGGAGCACTAGGTTTTTTCCAGATACTCTCTCATTCAGTTTTGCAGGCAGCTTTCAGGAGATTGAAAGACTCGGTGGGGACATGAGGTTGCTGGGGCTTAACTGTCCCCCCCGACCCCATGATCCTGGGGTTGTTGACTCCCCTCCTGGGGACCGCTCTGAGCCCCCAATCTCAGCCCCTTTTGTTGTACTGGGGCTTCTGCAAATGCAGCAGTGGTGGGGTTTCAAGCCTTTCCTTCAAAGGCTATGCTGGATGCTGTTCTCGGTGCCTGGGATCGCACCCCAGACAAGCCACACCTGTGTTTGGAACTGCTCCCAGGAACCCACATTCTAGCAGGGGACTTGGGCAAACAAGCAAACGTGAAATATGTCAGATTGTCCTTGCAAGGCATTAAAGTCGGACCGAGTGGGACTGGGGAGTCAGGGACGGCCCCAGTGAAGAGCAGATGGGTATGTGTGGAGGGCGGTGGTGAAGTATTCTGGGCCAGGGAGCGGCCAGTGCAAAGGCCCTGGGGCAGGAGTGACGTTGGCATGGCCATTGTGGCTGGAGGGTGGGTGGGGGGCGAGGGGGAGAGCAGTCAGCAGGGACAGAACCTGCTGGGTCCCCCAAGCTACAGGAAGGTGGTGGGATTTCATCCTGAGCTCGGTGGTTGGAAGTGAGGGTAAGAGCGACTTGCAGTGGAGGTGTCTTGTCTTCATGAGATGCTGCCTTCTTGAAGCAGCCGGGCACTACTTGGCTGAGTCAGGATTGTTCTCGGTTAAGCAGCGACGGGCATTACGGTGGGGTTGGGGGTGGGGGGTGAGAGCAGCATGGAAAACTCCACCTCATTCATTGACCACAGACACCCCGTATGGTCCTTTCTGAAGAAGAACGTGGAAAAGCAGGTCAGGAAGAATCTCTGCAGGAACCCCAAAGGAACCCGGCCAAGGTCAGCTCAGGCAGCCTCCCCTTCGTGGAGGCAGAAGGCTGAAGAAGTCCACGGGGCTGTTTTACTCCTGAGTTGTAGCTTGTGGAGACGGTTTGAACAACCACCTGTGGACAGTGGCTGTTTTTAATTCTTAGTGCAGGTTGGTCGGAAGCATAGCCCAGCCAGGTTACCAGCTGGAGAGCGAGATCTGGGAACACGCCCAGTGCCCCCCACAAAGGGGATTCCGCTCTTTGAATGCTGGGTGCTGTTTAAGGGTCAGCACTGGGCTGGGGACTTTTCCTCCTCTTTCTCCTTTAAGACCACCAGCGTCGGGAGCTGTGTTTATCCCATAAGCTTGACTAGAGGCGTTTCACGCCAGGTCTTCTGGGTGAGGTCCGCGTAACCCAAACAGAACAGCAAAGGCTCTATTCAGTAACTGCTGCGAATATTAAAAATGATCCTTGGGCTGGTTTAATATGCAGTGCGGACGCAATGATTTATGGGCAGAGTGAAAAACAAGCTTCTGGGAGTTTCGTGGATGCGTCACTGGGTAAAACGAAGGACACTGCAGAGCAGTGTGGTCCAGTAGAACTTTCTGGGATAACAGAAATGTGCCGTATCTACACTGTCCACGGTGGTCACATGAGGCGCATGGCTAATGGACGTGTGAAATGTGTCCAGCGCAGCCGAGGAACTGAATTCTTAACTTAATTTTACTTTATTTAATACATGTATTTTTTTATTTTGGAGTAATTTTAGGTTTACAGAGGAATTACGAAGCCGGTACAGAGAGTTCTTATAGACCCTCGCCTCAGTTTCCCCGACGGTTAATATCCTACATTAACTGGGGTGTGCTTGTCAAAAGTAAGAAACGAACGTTGTGTGTCACCGTTAATTAAATTTTATGTGGATGTCACCAGTTTTTCCGCTAATGTCCTCTTTCTGTTCGGGGATCCAATCCTGGGTACCACATGGCATTTATATTTTATTCAAATGTAATTGCTTAGAGGGGCTCCTGGGTGGCTCAGTCGGTTAAGCGGCTGCCTTCGGCTCAGGTCATGATCCCAGGGTCCT